CGGAGTGGCTGGGCCCGTGAGCTATGGCCGCTGAGCCTGCGCGTCCGGAGCCTGTGCTCCGCAGCGGGAGAGGCCACAACAGTGAGAGGCCTGCGTACCGCAAAAAAAAAAAAAGGGATACAGATTGCCAACAAACACATGAAAGAATGCTCAACATCATTAATCATTAGAGAAATGCAAATCAAAACTACAATGAGATATCATCTCACACCAGTCAGAATGGCCATCATCAAAAAATCTAGAAATAATAAATGCTGGAGTAGGTGTGGAGAAAAGGGAACACTCTTGCACTGCTGGTGGGAATGTGAATTGGTACAGCCACTATGGAGAACAGTATGGAGGTTCCTTAAAAAACTACAAACAGAACTACCATATGACCCAGCAATCCCACTAGTGGGCATATACCCTGAGAAAACCATAATTCAAAAAGAGTGATGTACCAAAATGTTCATTGCAGCTCTATTTTCAGTAGCTAGGAGATGGAAACAACCTAAGTGTCCATCATCAGATGAATGGATAAAGAAGATGTGGCACATATATACAATGGAATATTACTCAGCCATAAAAAGAAAAGAAATTGAGTTATTTGTAGTGAAGTGGATGGACCTAGAGTCTATCATACAGAGTGAAGTAAGTCAGAAAGAGAAAGACAAATACCGTATGCTACCACATATATGGAATCTAAGATAAAAGAAAATGTCATGAAGAACCTAGGGGTAAGATGGGAATAAAGACACAGACCTACTAGAGAATGGACTTGAGGATATGGGGAGGGGGAAGAGTAAGCTGTGACAAAGCGAGAGAGAGGCACGGACATATATACACTACCAAACATAAAATAGATAGCTAGTGGGAAGCAGCCACACAGCACCAGGGAGATCAGCTCGGTGCTTTGTGACCACCTAGAGGGTGGGATAGGGAGGGAGACACAAGAGGGAAGGGATATGGGAACATATGTATATGTATAACTGATTCACTTTGTTATAAAGCAGAAACTAACACACCATTGTAAAGCAATTATACTCCAATAAAGATGTAAAAAAAAAATGTCTACAAGTAACAAATGCTGGAGAGCGTGTGGAGAAAAGGGAACCCTCCTACAAGGTTGAGGGGAATGTAATTGGTGCAGCCACTATGGAAAACAGTATGGAGTTTCCTCAAAAAGCTAAAAATAGAGCTGCGATGTGATCCTGCATCCCACTTCTGGGCATGTATCTGAAAAAAACCATAATTCAAAAAGAACATGCCCCCCAGTGTTCATAGCAGCACTATTCACAATAGCCAAGACATGGAAACAGCCTAAATGTCTATTGACAGGTGAATGGGTAAAGAAGACGTGGTACTTTAGTTGCAGCATGCCAGGTGTTCGTTGCAGCATGCAGGATGCTGCAACTAAAGATCCCACACACCGCAACGAAGATCCCACGTGCTGCATCTAAGACCTGGAATAATGGAATAATTCCAACTGCAGCAACATGGATGGACGTAGAGATTATCATACTAAGTGAGTAAGCCAGAGAAAGACAAGTATCATATGATATCACTTATATGTGGAATCTAAAAATGTGGTACAAATTAACTTACTTACAAAACAGACTCAGACTTCAGAAACAAACATGGTTACCAAAAGGGAAAAGTGGGGCAGGAGGGATAAATTTAGAGGGTGGGATTAACATATACACACAACTAACTATATATAAAATAGATAATCAATAAGGATCTACTGTATAATACAGGGAACTTTACACAATACTCTGTAATAACCTATATGGGAAAGGTATCTGAAAAGGAATAGATACATGGGGCTTCCCTGGTGGCGCAGTGGTTGAGGGTCCGCCTGCCAATGCTGGGGACACCGGTTCGAGCCGTGGTCTGGAAGGATCCCACATGCCACAGAGCAACTAAGCCTGTGTGCCACAGCTCCTGAGCCTGTGCTCTAGAACCTGCGAGCCACAACTGCTGAGCCCACGTGCTGCGACTACTGAGGCCCACACGCCTGGAGCCTGTGCTCTGCAACAAGAGAAGCCACCACAATGAGAGGCCTGCACACTGCAACAAAGAGTAGCCCCCACTCGCTGCAACTAGAGAAAGCCCACACGCAGCAACGAAGACCCAACACAGGCAAAAGTAAATCAATAATTTAAAAAAACAAAAGATATATCTATAACTAAATCACTTTGCTGTCCACCTGAAACCAACAACATTGTAAATCAACTATACTCCAATATAAAAAAAACTTTTTTTAAGTCACCACCTTGGGTTTTCCTGGTGGTACAGTGGTTAAGAATCTGCCTGCCAATGCAGGGGACACAGGTTCGAGCCCTGGTCTGGGAAGATCCCACATGCCACGGAGCAACAAAGCCTGTGCACCACAACTACTGAGCCCATGTGCCACAACTACTGAAGCCTGTGCACCTAGAGCCCATGCTCAAGAGAAGCCATCGCAATGAGAAGCCTGTGAACTACAATGAAGAGTAGCCCCCACTTGCCACAGCTAGAGAAAGCCCACACGCAGCAACAAAGACCCAACGCAGCCAAAAATAAATATTTTAAAAGTCACCACCTTTAGGAAATAAAAACTAAGGTTTTACCTATAGACAGTTATTTTAGAAGATTCTTTGTATTAAGCTAAAATCCCCTATTCCCGACCCTTTAGAATCGTTGACTGTTCCTAGGAGGACATACATTGCTGGTTTCCTGAAAACTGAGAGGGAGAGGAGTGGGTAGTCACCCAGCCTGAGGGTGGCAAAGCTGAGACTAGGCCTGGGGCTCCTGACTTTCAGCCCAGGGTCTCTTCATCTGCGGCCTTATCTTTCCTGTAACATACTGCCGTGGGCTGTAATTCTCCCTTTCCTACAGTGCCTCTTTTGTAGGACAGCCTTTCAGTCTGATGAAGACTACTATCAGAAGCCCCTCACGTCTTTTCTCTGAGTAAAATACTCAGAGTTTGTTATTGTGCCTCATCTGACATGATTCCAGATCCTTCACTGGCTTACTTTTAAAATGGAGAAAACTGAGAGGAAGTATCTCCCATAAAATCCAGTGGCCAAAATTGAGTAATGGGGCTGTATTATCTCCCACCATAAGGAAAATAGTTTGTATTCTGTTGTAATCTGTTTATTATGCTCTTTTATTTAGGATGAACATATACCACATTTTATTTTATTTATTTATTTTATTTAGGATGAACATACACCACATTTCAGAATATTTTTCACCCAAAGCTCTCTGCTATGTTTACTTGGAAAGGGTACCAAAGATATCATAGAACCTGAAATTGACTTGGTTTGGAAATTGGTATAATATACAGAACACTTAGATGAAACAAAGACAGCTGTTATTCATACTAATGATGTAATGGTAAATATCTCAAAGGTCAGTTTTTTTTTTTTTTTTTTTGGTTGTGTTGGGTTTTCGTTGCTGTGCATGGGCTTCCTCTAGTTGCGGCAAGGGGGAGCTACTCTTCGTTGCAGTGCGCAGACTTTGGTGGCTTCTCTTGTTGCGGAGCTCGGGCTCTAGGCCCGCGGGCTTCAGCAGTTGGGGCTCGTGGGCTTCAGTAGTTGTGGCTCGCGGGCTCTATAGTGCAGGCTCTAGAGCACAGGCTCAGTTGCTCCACGGCATGTGGGATCTTCCCAGACCAGGGCTTGAAGCCGTGTCCCCTGCATTGGCAGGTGGATTCTTAACCACTGTGCCACCAGGGAAGCCCCAGGTCAGTTGTATTTTTGTACTGTGTTCCTATATTTGTGTTGGTATGGGTTTAATACTCTGGAAATTTTAAATTTCCAACAAAGTAATTTAGGTTCCAAACTTGCCTACACATTGGAACCCCCTGGGGAGCTTAAACAAATCTGCTTGTGTCCCATTCTGGGAGATGGTGATTTAATTTTTCTGAAATAAGGCCTGAGCTTTAGGAATTTTTAAGAGATTCCCCATGTGATTTTAATATGCAACTAATTTTGAGAACCACTGCTATAACGTGATCAGATTTAGGCAAGGGACTTAGAAAACTGTTCCTTGCCTTATTCCCTGCTCCAGCTTGAACAGTTTGGCATTGCATGAAATTTTATGATCTAATTCTCATTTGGACTTACGGATGTCATGGACCTAAGGTGTGCAGTTGTTTTTTTAAAAAAAACTTGCAGTTACTATTCATGATTCCCCACTCCCTCTACACTTTTTAACAGTTGATTTTAGATGTGAAATCCATTCGCTATCTAAATAAACTGATCACATGGATTAAAAAATGAAAAGGCTTATTTTAACTGGTTAACTCAAATTCATCAATATCCACCTAAGTGTGGTAGATGTCATGCAAAAAGAAACCTTAATGAAATGTACTCTAACGTACTAGAATGAAATAAAGATTCACACTTTTTCTGGGTGAAAGAAGGCATGCACGTTCTGGGTTTAAGGTCTTGGTGCTGGGCCTTAGGCGGCAGACAATGAAATAGAATAATTTGCATCTAAGATAGAAATTTTAGGGCTTCCCTGGTGGCGAAGTGGTTGAGAATCTGCCTGTTGATGCAGGGGACACAGGTTCGAGCCCTGGTCTGGGAGGATCCCATATGCCACAGAGTGGCTGGGCCCGTGAGCCACAACTACTAAGCCTGCGCGTCTGGAGCCTGTGCTCTGCAACAAGAAAGGCCGCGATACTGAGAGGCCCGCACACTGCGATGAAGAGTGGCCCCCGCTTGCCACAACTGGAGAAAGCCCTCGCACAGAAACAAAGAACCAACACAGCAAAAATTAATTAATAAACTGAAGGTGTCTTGTAGGCACAGACTATTAAAAAAAATAGAAATTTTACCATTTGTGCTTAATTATTAAAAAGAATGACAGAATTGTTTGCAAACAAGCTGCATGTCTGACAACCTCTTGGTAGACGGAGGTTATCTGCACAATAAGTAGGAAAAAAACCACTGATTTAAAAAGATGCCCAAGTCTCAACTAAAAACCCAGAAATTTCTGTTGAGTCAATTTATATTTGTTGTCAGGCTTACTTTAGAATAATAGTGTTTAGCTGTTGCTTCATCCTTTGTGATACCCAAACCAAGCTGCAGGCACCGTGCGTGGTAGAAAGAGGCCATGGCCATGCCTCTGCTGATGAATTCTGGGAGACAGTCCGTGACCTGGGCTATCATGGGGATGTCATGAATCTCATCGTAGTCAGCAATCCTGTTACAACATCCAGTTGTGAAATTAAAAACGGTATCAGTTACAGTTTACATTTTTATAAACATGCCCAGAAACTGTCCATGTTCCCCAAGTGGTTTCTCTATTATTTCTACCAGTTTGAGAACAAAATTGTTTGCTCTGTGGTGAAGGGTAAATAGAACAGTCAACTAACACCAGAAGAAGAGGAGCTAACTACAGTGGTTACTATGCGGCTTCCTAGGATTATACTGGTCAGGCTTAATAACCACTAAAAAAAGTTAAGTTTAAAATATTACAAGAACTTGGGCTTCCCTGGTGGCGCAGTGGTTGAGAGTCCGCCTGCCGATGCAGGGGACACGGGTTCGTGCCCCGGTCCTGGAGGATCCCACATGCCGCGGAGCGGCTGGGCCCGTGAGCCATGGCCGCTGAGCCTGCGTGTCCGGAGCCTGTGCTCCGCAACGGGAGAGGCCACAACAGTGAGAGGCCCGTGTACCGCAAAAAGAAAAAATATATATATATTACAAGAACTCTTATCACTTTGCAGATTTAAACAATGGGAAAAAAGCATTTTTCTATCTCTTTGGGTATTTGAACATCAACCTTGAATTTGGACTTTAGTCACACAGGACCAGAAAACACATTAATAAACTTACACATCTATGATAATGGGCAATAAAAAGTCCTTCTCTATAACCCAGATACAGCAATGGAGAACTACATGAAAACAAGTCAACTCCAAGTCAGCCGTAATACTGTGGGAAATAGGAACATGGAAAGTTCCAAAATTTTTTAAAGAACTGTTCGAAGTCTTAGTTTTAACCATACGGGCACTAGAGGATTTGAGACATCAGAGACCACACCTTTAAGTGGCCTGCTGCCTGGAGGCCATGATGTTGGGGAGGAGAGGGTAAAAGCAATTCCTTCATCCTCCAGTGTGGATGTCTACCTCACACTGGGCTCGGGGAGAGGGGAACCTGTGGGCTCCGTGGGAAGGGCATTATTGGGAGGGAAATGGCAGCATGGCCTTATAGCCATTTTAGAGGACACCCAGGTCTGTTGCATTTATACATTGTGGGTAAATGCAGGAAGGTACATGGCCTCAGAGAAGAGAAATTTCCATATACTTTATGTTAGTGTTGGAGTCTTTTAACCATTCTCATTGTGCAGTCCTCATCAAGCTATATTGTAATTGTGCAGTTATAGAACCTATGGCTAAGGGTGTAGGACAAAAAGTTTAATATTTCTCATGTGCCAAGCTGTGTTAAACACTTTATATTCACTATTTTTTTTTAATCAAGAAGAAAATACTTCTGCAGGATTACAAAAGAACGATTGATGCCCCAAAAGTTAAACTTGTGTAAGACTACTTAGCTGGTATACAGAGCAAATAGCACTGAAGTTCTGCAGACTAACAGATGTACTATCCAATATGGTAGCCGTGAGCTACGTGTGGCTATTACAATCCAGTGAAAATTACAAGTTCAGTCCTCAGTTGCACTGGCCACACTGCAAGTACCAATAGCCATCATTTCCAATACTGCAGCGAGTTCTATTAAACAGACCTGGCATAAGAACATCTAGTAAGTTTTTGTAAATACTTTTATCCAGCTTACTCACCTTTTGGAAAATGCAACACACTTTGTAAAAAATTTCATCTTATAGTAATACTCCACGAGATTCCCTTGAGCGTAGACATTTCCACGCTCTGCTGCTTCCCTCAAGCAATGCAGGGCAGCCTCGGTATCCTGGTGGATACCTTGTCCATAAAAGTACATGAGCCCAAGTGCACCCTGGGATTCCAGGTTTCCATTGCCACAAGCTTCTGAATGCCAAAAAAATGCCTAGGAGAAAGCACAATTCCCTAGTATTCACAAGGTGGATTATAAAGGGAATATCTCTAATAAGATAGTACTATTAATTCATCTCTAGGACACCGTTCTAACCCCCTGAACGTATGTCAGACTAGCACCAACTTCGCATGCCTGAGAGAGGGTGCTGAGGGGAGCCCGCCTATTGTCTGCCCACAGTATAGGCAAGGTCACTGGCTCGAGCTCAGCTGTTCAGGTTTCAGGATTTTCAGATTTTCCAAAGGAAAGACCAAAAAGGTGGGAAATAGCAACCAAGCGTCTGAAAGGCTTTGTAATGAGGCACAGCAAGGAGAGGAGAGCAGCTGATGTGAGATTGCAGCCGTCTCTCAGATCCTCTTGGAGCTCCAACGGGATCAAAGAAAACCGAGGATAAAAACCTGCATGTGGTCCAAGCACGTTTGCTCAATACTCAGCTACAGTGAATCTGAGTTAGTTCAAACCGATTTCCAAGTAGCTGCTCAGTTATCTGACAAGGATCTTGGGGGTTACGTGCCTCCTACAAGTTTGCCTTTAACGCCTCATTTCCTCCTCCCTATAAGATTTCTTGGAAAGTGTTTTCCACCATTGGGGATTGAAGAGGTTGTACTGACTCTCCCTCCTCTTTTACTTTTTATGGTAGAATATTTTGTATCTGTGCTTTTTATAGCATACAAAGTGATCACATCCGTGGTCTCCTTTGGTAGAGGCAGGGAAGGCAGCATTCATAGTTGAGGAAGGGTGCAATGAGCTTAGAGATCCTAAAATGTAAGCTTTCTTTACATTGAAAGAAATATAAGAGATATTCAAGACTACATACTTACTCCTCACCAAATATTAATCTACACAGGATGCTAGGATTTAAACAAATAAATCACTATTACCTTCTCTAACTCTCTGGGTTCCTTTGTTGAGTAATACAATCCTAGGATACTTTGAGCCTTCACACTAGCTTTTGGATTTCCATTGTCTGCAGCAAAAAGCCACAGTCTAGAAGAGAAGGGCAAGGCAAGTTATTCTTTGTTTAAAGCATTTGATTAAAACAAAAATCTTGTTCTCAAGTCAGATTACCTTTCAGCTTCCTCGTCTGATTGTTTAACGCCTTTTCCTTCATAATAAGCTCTTCCAAGGTTGTAAGCTGCTGCAAATTGTAAGTGTCTTGCTTTGGGACATGGAGAATCAACAATTTTCTTCATATATTCCACTCCTTTTTCCTTCCACAAAGGAAAAGAACAAAACAGATAGTCCTAGTTTAGTTTTACCCAAGTTTTCTCCCAATAATGCTGTAAAGCGTTCACCCTCCGACATGAGATAGAATGTCATGAGTCTATACCTAACAGGTATGGTTGTCCTGGACGCTGCAGGGCTAGAAATAAGTAAAAGTCCATCTCCTGGGTCAGCATTCCCAGGAGCTCTGGGATATAAACCATTCCCTTCATTTTATAGCTTCCACATTTGCGTTACATCTCAATATAGTTTCCTTCTTCTCTCCTCATAGCCCTTATTCTGAATCGGCACAGTTCTTAGAACTTAAAGTGTAAGAATAGCCAGTAACTTCCACATTTTCAATCCTTACAGGACACGTGTGAGCCCCACTCTGTCTTCTCTCTTCAAGCACACTTCCCCTAGCTGTGCTCAGTGATAAATTTACGTCTACTACACTCATTTTCATATGACATCTGCATAGTCACAAAACACAGAAGACGTTCTAACCACCAACAAAAGGCTTTCCTCCCTCCAAAAACTCAGACACAAATTGTTTACTAGACTATGTTCCTCTTGTCCAACGCACAGCAAGCCAAAATGCTGAGCCCACGAGGTTTGCAGCAAAGAGGGTTTACAAGGCAGCCAAGCAGGAGATGGGAGAACAAATCTCAAATCCGCCTCCCCAAAGGCAAGGAGATCGGGGTATTTATAGGATAAAGAAGAAAGCAGCGGGCAGTTGGAGGTGTGGGGAACATGGAGAAAGGTGATTGGAAAAAGGTGCAGGAATCTTTGCTCTGCACAGGTGTAACTAAGCTATAGGCCTCTGCACGTTCAAAAAGTCACTAAGCAACAGACATGCATGCCCAGTTGAAGGGTCGGTGGTTCTATCCAGTCTTAACCAGCTCAGCTCAAACTAGACACAGCTGAGTCCAAGTTCCTAGAAAACAACTCGGGCAAACATCTTGTTTAGGCTACATGCTGCTTGGAGCACATGAGAGTCTTAAAAAACCACCTTGATTAGTGAAGGCAGGTGAAGTGGATTTGACCCACACTTTCAGTCCCCCCTTGCTTTGTGATCATTAAGCAACTCTTGAGGAAAAAGGGTGAGGACAGCTCTGGCTAATTCCTGGTGATAAGGGGCATAGGCCTAACAGGGGCTTGAGGAATCAAACTATTTAGCACTCATTTGAGAATATTCTGTTGTTCCTGGTTTCAAGTTAACATTTTGATCCCAAATACCACTTATGCTCCAGCTGTCAAGGCATTCATAGGCCCAAGATTGGTAATAAAAACTGTAGACAAATAGGTATGGGGTGGGGCAAATATGTACACTGTGAGGGCATACAGAACGTCAGATGTGCGAACATTTCGACTCATTTTTAGGGATTTTACCTAGGACACTGGTGAGCCAGGGATCAGGGTCTTACTTTTTTACGAATTGGAGTGTGTTGATCATTATCACCTTTGACTGAAACACTTAGATAGCAACGAAGGAACACAGGCTGGGAGAATTAAGTGTGGTTTCTACAATATCCTCACCAAATAGAACCCTGACAAGGGTAGGTGCCAGGGATTTTTGTTGTTGTTTTTTGTTTTTTATTCTGAGGACACAAGGAGACCAAATTTTGGCTTATTCAAGAAAAAAAACGTGACAGGACATTTTGTTTATTAGCCTAATTTGATATTTTCACACCTGAAGTAACAGTGAAGTTAGGGATGGTCAAAAATTAACGACAGGCACAACCAAGGGGTCAGCATAATCAAATACAGAAGGTTTTAGATGACATATCCAAAAGCTAGAGAAATTACCTACTTTTGCCAAAGACTGAAAAATCCTAATCACTGAATTGTCCAAGCCTGGAAGGTTCGAAACAAAGAGAAGGCAGAACAAAAGAAAACAATCAATCTGGCTACTAGCAAATTATTTAAATTGCTTTCTAAATTTTACTTTTCAAAGCCACCACTGCAGCAATCCCACTCACCTTAATTTCTTTCCCATGGCTTTTTTCTGGGGGTTCGCTTGCCCACTCGGGAAAGTCAGCGTCAGGGTTGGAACCACTGCGGAATTCCTCCCGCAACGTGCTTTCCCTTTCTCGGTGCATTCCTCATAAGGTCCCAACCCGCGAAGATGGAGCTGGTCTTCAGGATGTTTACCCTCCATGATTTCAGTCTAGATGTTCATTGTCTCCTTTAAGAGCTTCCTAAATGGGTTTTGCTATGAGTCCAAAGTTGGGGACCCAAATACGGCAGAACCCAGCCATTCCCAGAAATTCCTACAATTATCTCTTGGTGGGAGCTGCAGCCCTAGCTAGAGCTTCCCTTCCATTAGAGGGCAAGTCTCTCTGTCCTTGGGAGAGTTCAAAACCCAAATATTTAACTGAGGGATTGAGAACTCTGTGCTTTTTCTTGGATACCTGATAGACCTGTTCAACCAAAAAGGTTGAAATCAAAACCATATTCTGAAAAAAAAAAACCCAAAAAACAACCATATTGTGGTCTCAGGTGTCCTTTGTTTTACTGGTAACCAGCATCAACCACGTCCTGGAGCAGGGCTCCCTCATTTAGTTGAGGGTCCCTCAAATCTTTTGCCAGATTTCTCCAAAGGTCGCGGGTAAAGTTTTAAATCCCTGAGGAAGTACTGTCCAGCAGTGCTGTTGTTTAATTCTTAGTACCTAGATCTTCCCATTTGAAAGCAAACAACTCTTGGGATTTACAACAAGGATATGCAAGAAAAGCCATCTTTCAACTCTAATACAGTAAACCAACAATGTCTAGACAGATTAGTGAGCAGAGAATATGGGTTAGGGACTACTGGATTAGTCTCTTTTACAATCTAATTGTTCTTAAATCATGTACAAGCTGACCTCAGGTGGTACCCTAAGCTGTATAGGCCTAGCTCCTTGCTATTCCCAGCCTCCCATCTGCCCAGGTCTTTGGACTCCTCTTTGCAAATCTCTTCTGGAACAGTTGCAGGCTGTTCTTTTTGGGATTGGAGTAATAGAGCCTGCAATGCGCAAGCCTGCTCTGGTGGTACTTCAATGTCTGTCCACTCAGGGGCAAAGGTAACCCTGATATTTAGTTAGTAAATCTCATCTCAGAAGGGGAATGGGGCATTCAGGCATGTATACAAAGCTATGCTTCAGATGCATTTTCCTCATCTGACAGTTTAGCAGCTGGAAAAAAGGCATTTTCAAGGTTCCTTTGGACACCCCAGTTACTAACATAGTTTTAGAAGGAAGTTTAGAAAGCCAGCTATTTAAAACTGAGTAAATGGCCCAATATCAATCAAAATCCAAAAGTTAATTTCCCACGGTCATAGTCATCCAGGGCTCCGCTTGGGAGATGATGGACTTCACAAGATTTAAAGGAACCCCTAGGGCCTGTCATTCTTGGTCACTGTCATTCTCACCTCGGGCATCCGATGTGCCAGCTGTTTACCTTCAAGAGTCTTACTTAGGATGGGACCCTCTTTTCCAGTGTCCCTCCTGTTTGCAATATGCACACTGGCAGGGTCCGGCTATCAGGTGCCCGTTTGAGTGGAAGCTTTTGCCGAGTCCCTGGTGGGAGTCCTTGATTCCATCCAGCTCTTCCCGGTGTTAAGGTAGCTGCCCGCAGAGCAGCCTCTTTCATTCTCCATTGTTCCCTTTTCTCCTGAACCTGGTCTCTGCTATTAGAAACTTTAAAGGCAGTTTCAACAAGTCAAGACATAGGCATTCCTAAAGGTCCTTCCACCTTTTGCAGTTTCTTCTGTATACTGGGTGCGCTCTGACCAAAAATTGGTCACTGACTTTTATAAGTTCTCTTTGTATGTTGCCTATAGACTTTAAAGACCCTTTCTGGAAAATTTGAAGGATCCTCATTTGGTTTATGCTTTACCTCCTGTACTTTATTAAGGCTTGTTTTGGCATCCCTCTTCGCAATCCTGCAAGAATGCAATCTCAGTAAAGTTTGGGCCTGTCTCCAGCATTCACATCCCCATCAGGATCTGCTTTTGGTGTAGCCCCGCATGCAGCAGCCCTCACCGGGTTGCCAGGGGTTTCTGCACGAAGCAGATCTGCCTCCTCTCGAGCTTTATCCAGCACCATCCTATGCTCTTCTGAAGTGAGGAGGGTATTTAATAAATTTTGAACATCTGCCCAGGTTACGTTGTGGGTTGCAAAAAAAAAAAAAAAATGGTTTTCCATTCTCGAGTCATCTCTATAAGTTGGCATATTGTTCTTCCAATTAAATAAATCCAAAGTGGACAGGGAAAGTTTGCTTTATTTCTGAGGCCGGCAACGGGGAGAATGGTGGACTTATGTTCAGAGACTGGCTCCTCACTGACAAGTCAGTGGGCAAGCCCTTTTTTTTTTTTTTTTGCGGTACGCGGGCCTCTCACTGTTGTGGCCTCTCCCGTTGAGGAGCAGAGGCTCCGGACGTACAGGCTCAGAGGCCATGGCTCACGGGCCTAGCCGCTCTGCGGCATGTGGGATCCTCCAGGACCGGGGCACAAACCCGTGTCCCCTGCATCGGCAGGCAGACTCTCAACCACTGCGCCACCAGGGAAGCCCTGGGCAAGCACTTCTAAAGGGGGGGTTCAGGGGTGTTTAGGCGGAGGAAGGGGACTACATGCAGCAACAGCCCAGTCAGCTCTGACAGTCACCTTGAAATTGGTCACATGGTGGTCTGGTCAGCGTCATCTTCATTGTTTTAAGTACAGTTAGTCTTCAGTTCCAGGGTTGGTTTGTTCCCATTTCTTTGAAGCCAGTTCTCAGAACTGTGGCAGCTTATGTCATGGCTACAGCCTGGTCATCATGTAGTTAATTTCTTTCACCTAGTGGGGGTTTCAGTATCTATAAAACAGCTCAAAGGATACGGCCCAGAATATTATCTATAGCCCTTGAGGAGGGACTAATGGTCCCCGACTTCATTCAGTGACTAAATTATTATTACTTGGTCTTGTTTTCCTTTGCTTCTGCACTTTCTCACTTCTCTGAATTTATTCTTTGACTAAAGCTTTTCTACAGAC